AAATTGTAGACGATTGGTTTCTCATTACATAATTAATAATTCAATGAAAATGTGCATGTCAATCAAGTTAGTCGTTGCAATTTAGATATATATACACTCTCCTATATACTGTATGAATGCATATAAGCTAAGTACATAATATATTGGCAATCGCTTTGAGGAACAGCTATATTATGATTGCAGCGAAATTTTGAAAGATATTTCCAAGAAACCAGCTTAAATTTTCATTTGAAGTATAATACCAAACACTGATTTAATACTGAAGAGCCAATGATTGAAACTGTGAATTGTCGTTGTAATCAATAAAAAGTAATTTATATCTATGTAAAGTAGAAGCACTTCACAATCTTATTAAATCGATAAAAGAGATCGGGATGTGGTATACATTTTTGAAGATAAACTCGCGCTATACGCGCTATGTATACAAACATTTATAGGCGCGTTCAAGCCTTCGGACAGACTGACGGACAGGCGGACAGGGCTAATCAAGAATATACATACTTTAAAGAAGGAATCATCGAAAACACCAGAAGATTCCTTCTGCCTGTTACTTACTTTTCACAAAACCATTTTACCCTGATTTCCCATTTTCAATGGGTATACAAAAAAAGACACAATAATTTGATCACCCATTAATAAGTTAAGTTGACAAGGTCAAGTCGATAGATTAAAAATCTATATTGCTAATAATAATTTACGATTAATTTCCCCTTAAGTTAGACAGTTTATTTATAATGATATATTCCTTTAAACTGCCTACAGAGTATGAGCAAGTTGGTCATTCCAGTATTGATCAGATATATGGCGTATGTATATGGAGACTGAGGGCTCTCTAATTATAGCTAGTTAGTCGACATTCTCGATAGAGCCTATTTGCTCAAATCAATAAATTTTACAGTTGGATGCACAGGTGGCGCTTGGCTCTGAGGAGTGGAAGGGTGGGAGTCTAGTGGTGCTACGGTGCAGACACAGCAATTTGGCAGCGAGCGACCTAAATGGACCTTTTGTTAAATTTTCCGGCTGCTGTGCACTCAGCATAAATTCATAAATGTTTGCTGCTCTCCCAACAGCAGCTGCACCTGACTGCAACCCATTTTAGTCAGCTCACTGTGGCTAGAAATCATGAGAAAATCATGCGAATTATACTACATATATTATATAAAAGACTAAAATGCAAAAGGTTTAATAGATATTTATCATATTCAAAAAATTTCATTAAAACTTTTGAAGATGTGGGACGTCCTTGACGTTTTTTATACTCATTCACGTAAATGAAATGAGCATATTGGTTTTGTGCAAAATCCGTCTTGTTATTTCGGCGATTGGATAGGTAAATTTGGATTGTTAAATTACTATTAATTTCCTCTATCGATTCCCCAAATAATATTATTACGCCTCTTTAGGGGATCTAGAAGATCGCAGTTTAGGACGTAGCTGATTTAAAATTGCATTGTAAAGTTTGATATAAAACATTTTTATACCCCAAACCCATTAAAAATGGGAAATCAGGGTACAATGGTTTTATGAAAAGTATGTAACAGAAGGAATCATCGCAGACCCCATAAAGTATATAAATTCTTGATCCGTATGAACGCCTAAATCTCAGAAGTTATAAGAGCAAGAGAGCTAAAACTTGGCATGCCTACTCGTGTATACCATACGCTGTACAAGTTTATCATCTTTTTCGATAACCCATCCGATAACTTTTTTTTATCGAGAATAATCGAAACATTTATTTTGTTCACTTAGACATATGATGAATACAAACATTTTTTAATTTAGATTTCGGATACCACGCCTTGGAATGTACACACATTTTCACAATATGATTATGCTCTGAAAGTTTCATTAAGATCGTACTTCTAAAAATTAAATTATTCAACAAACCAATTTTTATAATATTGCCCACACTGCAGCGCAGAATGATTAGAATATCAGCTTTAAGGGTTCAAGGCATCTCGTAGTCGAGCAGTCTCGACTAGAGCTTACTTGGCTATTTTCTTTTGATTATTTTCTATTATATTATATTATGAATGCTGTTTTTCTACTACTAATATGTTTTTTATGGTCAGCCGTCAACTGATTCTATCGACTTCAATTCTGGGAAATATCATCACTCTAGATAATTTTATCTAACTCTTAACTTTTATTTTATATCATTTAACTCTTGCCCACTGTGCGCGTTACACCGTGGCATATTTTTAAGCAAGCAGTATTGCTTTTTATTAGACGTCAAGCACCAGCAAATATTATGTAAATATATACATATTTTTATTTTATTTTATTAAAGATATTGACAAAACTGGAGTCAACTAAAATTAAATAGCCCATAAAAAATACAAAACATTATAACAATAGTATCACCAACCCAATGGGGGTATTTTATTTGCCAGTCCGGCTAGCTATGCCCCACTTCACAGCCAAATGTGGTCAGTGATACTTTTGAAACTATGAAAAGACATTGTTAAAATGGAAAACTTAAAATAAGATATTAAACTTAAATATAGTTTATCTAATTAAAATTATAATGAATCTCAACCTAAAAATATTAGTAAGGAAGAAGGAAAGTAGAACAATATTGCAAGAAATAGTGAAAAGAGCATAAGAAATAAAAATAAATGAGTTAAACAAGAGAAAAATAAAAGGAATATATATCATATATTTGAATGTATCTTTCTTGTTTTTATGCAAGCGTCGCTCGTTAAAAATCACTTAAAATTTCATCATCATAAATTTGTCTACAATTTTGTTTTCACCTGTTCGTAATTCTCTCTCGGTAACTCTTTCAACTCGCACTCAGAATTTAGAGTGAGTCTTTGGATCAGTTGCGTCATTTGCCATTAATTTGTTATGCGGTTTTCATGATAAGTAATAAAAACATTTTTCCACTCCTAAATCTCAATAAACAAATATTTTGTGTAATTAGATTATCTCATTTGGGACCGAAAGAGAGTTCCATTATTTTATAATTAAACATGATGCGACACAATGACCGAATCTCGAAATAGTATGTGAACTAATCAATAATCAGTATTTACTGCTTGTAAGCGATTTCTCACAATAAATAATATTAGAATGACAACGCAATACTAATAATTGTGCTCCATGGCTGGTTAATATCTTATATATGTAGCTGCAATGAAAATTATATTCATGTTTTCGTTAGCTTTACGCTCCATCCGAAATGTAAGTTAGTATTTTCATTACTAAGCTGGGCTATATAGGAACGAATCAAAGAATTTTAAAGTATTTCATACGTAAATAATCAAAATAAAGTTTCAAATACAATATTCCAAACATATATATAAATGTAGCAACATAGATGAAAACAATGGACTTGCGACTTATTCTATACAGTAAACTGTTTTAATTTAATATGGACTAATCTTAAAAATGTTAAACTTAAAGAAAGTTGCATTAAAAATTTCCTATGCTTTTTATACCATTTCTAGAATGTACGACTTCTATATGAAATTGGTACTCTTCTTTTGATCTCAGTTATTGCAATAATATAGCCTCACCCCATTTATTCTCCGATTCAGTTCGTTTCACATGTCTCAAATATTCGCTTCACAATTGAAAGTATTTCTGCGACTATAAGCTTTTTATGCAACATATCCCATATCATTTTCTACAAGAAAAAAAAAAAAAGGATAGAAGAGGAAAACCCGCCTACAAATGTTTACATAATGCGGGCCACAATAGATTTCTCTCTCTTTCACTCTTGATGACCATCTTTCTGACGCACTGTTCAGTTGTCAGACTGTAGACTCTACCCTGTACTCTGCGGTGTCTATGGGTCTATCCTCTGTGCTAGGTGTGATGTTTGAACTACACTCAAGTCAACTTTACTTTACTCAGACCAGCTCTTCTCTCCTTTGCCTCGCTAACCTTTACTTTCCTGATGCTGGTTGCTTTGCTTTTCTGTTTTAACGGGCAAATGTTTTTGCATCACTTGGCTCAGCCAAAAAGCACGACCGGAGCTTATCCTTGGATGTCCGGGTGTTCGCTTTACAGGCAACGCGCAACGAGCTGGAGAAAGAACTCAAGCACTTGGCGTAAAATAGAGACCGTACAAAAAGCGCCAACAACAACAACAACAATAACAACATTGCTGACGCTGGTGTTATTAACATTTCTGTTGACATCTTTTTTCTTTTTTTTTTTTTTGTGAGGGTGTGTATTTGTGTGTGCATGTTTCTTTTTTTCATTTTTTTTCAAATGTACTTAGCCGCCTTCTCAACTCAATCTTTCATATACGAAGCATTTTTTCATTAAACGTACACGACTTAAGTCGTTTCAACGCACAGTGGTTCAATTTGAGATAAAAATAACACGAGAAGGGAGAGAGAGAGAGGGTGTAAGAGAGCGAGAGAGGAATAGAGAACGAAAGAGAGATTTACAAAAGCCAAACAGAGGATAATAGATAACAATAATGCAAAACAATACTTAAGGTACTAATTTAGGAAGTGAAAGTACAACTAACTATATCCAATTCTGGTTTGTTTTATTATTTATTGTGCGAAAATTAATTATAAATAAATTAATCTACGAAAATAGTTATCCATTACTTGACATATTTGACACTTGTCAAATGCTCTATGTTCCTCTAAAATCAGGGAATATATTGCAAGGTTATAACAGAATTGAATGTAACTCCTTCTGAAGTCTGTTAAAATATTTAAAGATATATAAAACTAAAATTCAAGTAATGCCCAATACTCACTTCCACGAATGCCAAGGAAATTTTGTATCGAGAGGTTAAATACTAAACTATGGTTTAATAAAACACACAAACATTAAAATATGTAATTACTAATGGATTATTTGTAAGAAAATGCTGTGAAATGCTAGCTAACGACCGTTTACAATATATGCATATACAGCTTTACAGATAATTGTATTGTATCACCAATTATAAAACAATTTTCTATCGCATTCCAATGTAGCGGAATCGAAAATTAGGGATAGTCAGAGAACAGTTTCTAATTACACGGGCATCGTTCAACGTGGCCAAAAATGAAGCTGCTGCGGATCGGGGCATATTTTCTGATAACCTTGGTGTTCTACTGTTCTGGGAGTGGGTGTGCTGAGTACGTGGTGAGCGTGGATCGGTTTGTCTTCACTCCCATAGATCGGGAGTTGATTCCTTCGCAGAGCGCCACCATTGAGCAAATTGGCAATCGTAGCTACCTCTCAGGGCACTTGTACTTGGAAAGATCAGTGGACAATGTCATTGCGCTAGCCTCCTTGGAAATATCACGTCCAAATTTGCCACGTGTTCGTCTCTTCAATTCGAAATTCGATCTTTGCGGCTTTTTAAAGAACACATACAAAAGCAAATTTCTTCAGCAGTTCCACTACAGATTCGTAACCTTCACTAATGTGCAACCGTCTTGTCCACTTAAGCCGGTGAGTCGAGCTTTCGGATCCAATTTATAATCCCTCTTAACGAATCTTTGCTTTTAGCATCTGAATTATACACTAGAGCGCAGCTACTTAGACGAACGCATTCTGCCCGAGCTGCTGCCCGAGTGCAGCTACTTCTTTAACGTGGAGTTTCGGGAAAAGACCAAGCCACTGGCCAATTTGCATATTTCAGGCCATTTACATCCAGTTCTTAATAAGAAAAAGGGTCCAAAGAATCGCGTGAAAACATAAAACTGTTTTATATATTAAAAAAAAATAAATAAATAAATAAAATCAAAGGAATATATCTTGCTTTAAATGTGAACTTGTAAGCATGAACAATAAATAAAAAGATGACTTTAAGGTGGGACTCGAGCCAATGTTTTTTGATCGCCTGAGATTTACTGAGAGGACTGCCTAAACCGCTAAAGAAATATATATTATTAAGTAGACAAGATAGTATTTGAGCAAGTTATTCAACTTATAGACTGATGTTTTTAAAATCTGCTGAAAGATCCCCATATCTACTTAACTACTCAAATAGTTCAATGTTTTCACACAAGCATTGTAATATCTTAAATTTAGATATTTGAAGTATTCATTCATGTTGTGATCTATATCATTTGCCTGGAGCTGCAAATTGTCTTTATTAATTAATATTGAAGTGGGGCTTGTCGTGGACTCTAACTGTAGAGTTATGCAATATCTGTGTGAGCTGTAAAAGATTATTTTTCTATTATGTAAATCAAATGGTTTGTAAATGAGGATGGATGGGTCAACCAAAAAAGAACACGCCGAATAATAGGTCAGGGATCAAACTCATACATAAGTATCTGATATAATTTAACTGACATCATTGCTATTTTTGTTCCACTCATTTTACGGTGACCAATTGCAAATTTGAAGACCTGAAGTTCAATTATATTGTGTACAAATGGGGTGAAAAATCAAAAACGTAGCAATGTTGTTGAATAGATTTCAATAAAATTGAAAACCCATTTTTGGGCATTTTCCCAATTGCATCCGAATAAAAACAATTGAAATTCTGATTATTTTAAAATTAAGGCTGTATAAACAATTTGAACCGCCTGTCATAATTAGCAACATTGAAATGTAGTTTGATGAAGCATTCGCTGTTATCAGATAATTGACAATAATTTCAGGCTAGGTCCATTATGCCACTTGAGACTCGTCTCTCGCCATGTCCGGTTGGCTCTGGTTTTTGATCTGTTTGGGTCTATCAGTAGCGGCTCAACAGCGCAGTTTTCGCTTCGTAGTCAACAACTTTTACGTCAGGCCCACCGTTCCAGATATCTTTGAGAGCATTAATTGGACTCAGCCCAATCGCAGCACGCTTAATATTGCTTGGATACTCAAGCGGCAAATTGATCAGTTGGATTTGGAGACATCCTTGGATATGATCAGGTCCGATAAACAGCAATTGCGGTTGTACCACATACATTTGGACGCTTGTAAGTTTCTAACAACAATTCACAAAAATCGCATCTTCACTCTGTTCGCAAAGAGTGTGATGAGAGGGAGCAATGGGCACCTGAAGTGTCCCTTGAAGCCAGTGAGTACTCATTCGACATGTGTCTACGTATTTATATTTATGTATATATTGCATATTATCTTTAACAATGGCCTTCTTCTAGAACCTCAACTATACTATTAGCAATATGCACCTTAGTGAGGACGATTTTCCCCAATACGTGCCTGAATGCCATTTCAAAGCAATGACCAAATTCTATATTCATCAGAAAGTCGCTATCCGAATGCTCCTTGAAGGCGAAGTCAACTATAAGCGCTGATAATTTACGCCGGCAAGAGAGACATATCAAATAAAAAAAAAAAAAAAACGCCTTTGCAATTTTTGCAATGTTAAAAATTAAATTATATTATAAATAAGTCCCAAAAAGAGTTTTTATTTGGATACCATTAGGGAGGCGTGGCAGACCCCATTAATTACAAATATTTTTGACTTATCGGTCTCAGAACGCATAAGATCTGGTGACTGAG